GCTGCCCCGCATCTTTTGATGCTGCCCCGCATCTCTTGATGCTGCCCCGCATCTCTTGATGCTGCCCCGCATCTTTTGATGCTGCCCCGCATCTTTTGATGCTGCCCCGCATCTTTTGATGCTGCCCCGCATCTTTTGATGCTGCCCCGCATCTTTTGTTGCTGCCCCGCATCTTTTGATGCTGCCCCGCATCTTTTGATGCTGCCCCGCATCTTTTGATGCTGCCCCGCATCTTTTGATGCTGCCCCGCATCTCTTGATGCTGCCCCGCATCTCTTGATGCTGCCCCGCATCTTTTGATGCTGCCCCGCATCTTTTGATGCTGTCCCGCATCTTTTGATGCTGCCCCGCATCTTTTGATGCTGCCCCGCATCTTTTGATGCTGCCCCGCATCTCTTGATGCTGCCCCGCATCTCTTGATGCTGCCCTGCATCTCTTGATGCTGCCCCGCATCTCTTGATGCTGCCCTGCATCTCTTGATGCTGCCCCGCATCTCTTGATGCTGCCCCGCATCTCTTGATGCTGCCCCGCATCTCTTGATGCTGCCCCGCATCTCTTGATGCTGCCCCGCATCTCTTGATGCTGCCCCGCATCTCTTGATGCTGCCCCGCATCTCTTGATGCTGCCCCACATCTTTTGATGCTGCCCCGCATCTTTTGATGCTGCCCCGCATCTTTTGATGCTGCCCCGCATCTTTTGATGCTGCCCCGCATCTCTTGATGCTGCCCCGCATCTCTTGATGCTGCCCCGCATCTTTTGATGCTGCCCCGCATCTCTTGATGCTGCCCCGCATCTTTTGATGCTGCCCCGCATCTTTTGATGCTGCCCCGCATCTTTTGATGCTGCCCCGCATCTTTTGATGCTGCCCCGCATCTTTTGATGCTGCCCCGCATCTTTTGATGCTGCCCCGCATCTTTTGATGCTGCCCCGCATCTTTTGATGCTGCCCCGCATCTCTTGATGCTGCCCCGCATCTCTTGATGCTGCCCCGCATCTCTTGATGCTGCCCCGCATCTCTTGATGCTGCCCCGCATCTCTTGATGCTGCCCCGCATCTCTTGATGCTGCCCCGCATCTCTTGATGCTGCCCCGCATCTCTTGATGCTGCCCCGCATCTCTTGATGCTGCCCCGCATCTTTTGATGCTGCCCCGCATCTTTTGATGCTGCCCCGCATCTTGTGATGCTGCCCCGCATCTCTTGATGATGCCCCGCATCTCTTGATGATGCCCCGCATCTCTTGATGCTGCCCCGCATCTTTGATGCTGCCCCGCATCTCTTGATGCTGCCCCGCATCTCTTGATGCTGCCCCGCATCTCTTGATGCTGCCCCGCATCTCTTGATGCTGCCCCGCATCTTTTGATGCTGCCCCGCATCTTTTGATGCTGCCCCGCATCTTTTGATGCTGCCCCGCATCTCTTGATGCTGCCCCGCATCTCTTGATGCTGCCCCGCATCTCTTGATGCTGCCCCGCATCTCTTGATGCTGCCCCGCATCTCTTGATGCTGCCCCGCATCTCTTGATGCTGCCCCGCATCTCTTGATGCTGCCCCGCATCTCTTGATGCTGCCCCGCATCTCTTGATGCTGCCCCGCATCTCTTGATGCTGCCCCGCATCTCTTGATGCTGCCCCGCATCTCTTGATGCTGCCCCGCATCTCTTGATGCTGCCCCGCATCTCTTGATGCTGCCCCGCATCTCTTGATGCTGCCCCGCATCTCTTGATGCTGCCCCGCATCTCTTGATGCTGCCCCGCATCTCTTGATGCTGCCCCGCATCTCTTGATGCTGCCCCGCATCTTTTGATGCTGCCCCGCATCTCTTGATGCTGCCCCGCATCTTTTGATGCTGCCCCGCATCTTTTGATGCTGCCCCGCATCTTTTGATGCTGCCCCGCATCTTTTGATGCTGCCCCGCATCTTTTGATGCTGCCCCGCATCTTTTGATGCTGCCCCGCATCTTTGATGCTGCCCCGCATCTCTTGATGCTGCCCCGCATCTCTTGATGCTGCCCCGCATCTCTTGATGCTGCCCCGCATCTCTTGATGCTGCCCCGCATCTCTTGATGCTGCCCCGCATCTCTTGATGCTGCCCCGCATCTTTTGATGCTGCCCCGCATCTTTTGATGCTGCCCCGCATCTTTTGATGCTGCCCCGCATCTCTTGATGCTGCCCCGCATCTCTTGATTCTGCCCCGCATCTCTTGATGCTGCCCCGCATCTCTTGATGCTGCCCCGCATCTCTTGATGCTGCCCCGCATCTCTTGATGCTGCCCCGCATCTCTTGATGCTGCCCCGCATCTCTTGATGCTGCCCCGCATCTCTTGATGCTGCCCCGCATCTCTTGATGCTGCCCCGCATCTCTTGATGCTGCCCCGCATCTCTTGATGCTGCCCCGCATCTTTTGATGCTGCCCCGCATCTCTTGATGCTGCCCCGCATCTCTTGATGCTGCCCCGCATCTCTTGATGCTGCCCCGCATCTTTTGATGCTGCCCCGCATCTTTTGATGCTGCCCCGCATCTTGTGATGCTGCCCCGCATCTCTTGATGCTGCCCCGCATCTTTTGATGCTGCCCCGCATCTCTTGATGCTGCCCCGCATCTCTTGATGCTGCCCCGCATCTCTTGATGCTGCCCCGCATCTTTTGATGCTGCCCCGCATCTCTTGATGCTGCCCCGCATCTTTTGATGCTGCCCCGCATCTTTTGATGCTGCCCCGCATCTCTTGATGCTGCCCCGCATCTCTTGATGCTGCCCCGCATCTCTTGATGCTTCCCCGCATCTTTTGATGCTGCCCCGCATCTTTTGATGCTGCCCCGCATCTTGTGATGCTGCCCCGCATCTCTTGATGCTGCCCCGCATCTCTTGATGCTGCCCCGCATCTTTTGATGCTGCCCCGCATCTCTTGATGCTGCCCCGCATCTCTTGATGCTGCCCCGCATCTCTTGATGCTGCCCCGCATCTTTTGATGCTGCCCCGCATCTCTTGATGCTGCCCCGCATCTCTTGATGCTGCCCCGCATCTTTTGATGCTGCCCCGCATCTCTTGATGCTGCCCCGCATCTCTTGATGCTGCCCCGCATCTCTTGATGCTTCCCCGCATCTTTTGATGCTGCCCCGCATCTTTTGATGCTGCCCCGCATCTTTTGATGCTGCCCCGCATCTTTTGATGCTGCCCCGCATCTTTTGATGCTGCCCCGCATCTTTTGATGCTGCCCCGCATCTTTTGATGCTGCCCCGCATCTTTTGATGCTGCCCCGCATCTCTTGATGCTGCCCCGCATCTCTTGATGCTGCCCCGCATCTCTTGATGCTGCCCCGCATCTCTTGATGCTGCCCCGCATCTTTTGATGCTGCCCCGCATCTTTTGATGCTGCCCCGCATCTTTTGATGCTGCCCCGCATCTCTTGATGCTGCCCGGCATCTCTTGATGCTGCCCCGCATCTCTTGATGCTGCCCCGCATCTCTTGATGCTGCCCCGCATCTCTTGATGCTGCCCCGCATCTCTTGATGCTGCCCCGCATCTCTTGATGCTGCCCCGCATCTCTTGATCCTGCCCCGCATCTCTTGATGCTGCCCCGCATCTCTTGATGCTGCCCCGCATCTTTTGATGCTGCCCCGCATCTTTTGATTCTGCCCCGCATCTTTTGATGCTGCCCCGCATCTTTTGATGCTGCCCCGCATCTTTTGATGCTGCCCCGCATCTCTTGATGCTGCCCCGCATCTCTTGATGCTGCCCCGCATCTCTTGATGCTGCCCCGCATCTTTTGATGCTGCCCCGCATCTTTTGATGCTGCCCCGCATCTTTTGATGCTGCCCCGCATCTTTTGATGCTGCCCCGCATCTTTTGATGCTGCCCCGCATCTTTTGATGCTGCCCCGCATCTCTTGATGCTGCCCCGCATCTCTTGATGCTGCCCCGCATCTTTTGATGCTGCCCCGCATCTTTTGATGCTGCCCCGCATCTTTTGATGCTGCCCCGCATCTTTTGATGCTGCCCCGCATCTTTTGATGCTGCCCCGCATCTTTTGATGCTGCCCCGCATCTCTTGATGCTGCCCCGCATCTCTTGATGCTGCCCCGCATCTCTTGATGCTGCCCCGCATCTTTTGATGCTGCCCCGCATCTTTTGATGCTGCCCCGCATCTTTTGATGCTGCCCCGCATCTTTTGATGCTGCCCCGCATCTCTTGATGCTGCCCCGCATCTCTTGATGCTGCCCCGCATCTCTTGATGCTGCCCCGCATCTCTTGATGCTGCCCCGCATCTCTTGATGCTGCCCCGCATCTCTTGATGCTGCCCCGCATCTCTTGATGCTGCCCCGCATCTCTTGATGCTGCCCCGCATCTCTTGATGCTGTCCCGCATCTCTTGATGCTGCCCCGCATCTCTTGATGCTGCCCCGCATCTCTTGATGCTGCCCCGCATCTCTTGATGCTGCCCCGCATCTTTTGATGCTGCCCCGCATCTTTTGATGCTGCCCCGCATCTTTTGATGCTGCCCCGCATCTCTTGATGCTGCCCCGCATCTCTTGATGCTGCCCCGCATCTCTTGATGCTGCCCCGCATCTTTTGATGCTGCCCCGCATCTTTTGATGCTGCCCCGCATCTTTTGATGCTGCCCCGCATCTTTTGATGCTGCCCTGCATCTGTTGATGCTGCTCCTACTTCCTGTCGGATCTGCATCCGCTCATGCTGTGCTGATGCTACAGCAGAGATTTTTTTTGGGCGCTTTCATAAGCGCCTCAGTAATCGTACGCCCCTGCTGTGCTGACACCCCATCAGGCATACTGCTGCACAGGTGCCCCATCCACCCTGGCAGGTCAACCTTTCTCCTTTCGCCCCTCCACAGGTGCTGCAGCAGGCGCGGCAGCAACTGACAATGCTGGAGGAGAGATGGCGCGGGAGCAGGAAGTGCTTACCCTACCCTGCTAGCGCACACCCTGCGAACTCCCTATCCTGCTATCCTATTGCCACCCCCCTCCGTCCCCTCCTTTCCCTATGCTGCACCCTCCACAGGTATTGCAGCAGGCGCGGCAGCAGCTAGCGACACTGGAGGAGAAACTGCAGCAGCTGAGGCAGCGCAGAGGGGAGGTGGAGAGGCAGATGCGGAGCGAGGAGGAGGGGGAGGACGAGGTGACAGGCGCGTTCCGCGCCATGGTGGGCGAGTTCGTGGTGAGTGCTGGGGGGAATGGGCTGGGGGAGGTGGTGGGGGGAAAGGGCTGGGGGAGGTGGTGGGGGGAAAGGGCTGGGGGAGGTGGTGGGGATGGGGAGGAAGGGATGAGGAGAGGACATGGCACGGGGGAGGATGAGGTGACAGGGGCGTTCCGCGCCGTGGTGGGGGAGTTCGTGGTGAGTTTATGGGTTAAATGGGTTGAGAGCGGTGAGGAGAGGCATTGATTCAGGTGCTGCTCTTCCTGCTGTGCTCACCCTCTCCTTTCCTCCCTGCCCACATCGCATCCTCTTGTCACATCTCCTCACACACGCCGGCACCCTCCACTCCTCCCGCCCTGTGCGATCATAATCTCGCCCTCTCCCCCTTTCCCCCACACCCCACTTCTCCCTCAGTCCACGCGGCACACGGTGGCAACACTGCAGAGGCGGGTGTTTCAGCAGCGAGCATCCGCCCTCGACCCCCAGATACAGGACGCCTTGCTCTGGGCTGACGAGCCTCAAGAGGTTGACGAGGCGCATGAAGTACCCGTTGCTGCCGCTACAGACGGTGCTGCTGCCTCTGATGATTTGCCTGCAGTTGAAACTTCAGCAGCTGCTGGTGGGATGAATGGTGCTGGTGATTTTACTGTGCCTGGTGGGAATGGTGCTGCTCGCCCCGCTCCCGCACCTGCGGGGCGCAGGCTCGTGGTAACCGCGCAGTTCCCAGACCTGGCGTCCGGGGCTGTGCGGTCGGTTCGGGGGCTGCTGGTTGGGCAGCTGGAGGCGCTGCCCCCGTACCTGCAGGAGGAGGGGGAGGACTGGGCGGAGGAAGGAGGGGTGGGGGAGGAGGAGGGCGGTGATATGGGGAGAGTGGCGAAGGGAAGAGTGGTGGAGGGAAGGGGGGATGGAAAGAGGAGTTTGCGGAATAGTGGAAGGGGGGGAGAGGGAGGGGAGAGGGGAAGGGAGAGGGGAAGGGAGCAGGAGGAGGAGGAGGAGGAGGAAGGGAGAGAGGCCCAAGGACTGAAAACGGTGGCTCAATTGGGCGGTCTAAATGACAGTGACGGTAGAACCAGCACCACTCCATCATCCTCCTCTTCTTCCTCCTCTTCCTCCCCATCCTCTCTCTCCTCATCGCCGTCCTACGTGGCAGTTATAGGGGAGGATTCCCATTGGTACGTCCTCCCCTCGCCCTGCATCCGCCAGCTAATCAGAGCGCAGTACGACCCCACCGATCAATCGGAGCTCGCCATGTCAGCGGCCGACGGGCGACAGCTCGTTGGCAGGTACCTTTGGCCGGATGGCCGGCAGGACGAGGCAGATGAGACGGTTGGGTGGCAGCGGGCGGCAAAGCTGAAACTTTTCCTGCCGCCTGTGCCGGAGATGCTACAGGGATGGCTCAGGGGGAGCGGAGGGGAGAAAGGGGAGAGAACAGAGGTGGGAGGAGTAGGAGAGAGTGGAAGGGGCAAGTGGGGAGAGAATGGGAACGAGGGAGTGATTGGGCAAATGGGAGTTTGGGATTTGGGAGCTGCAGGAGACTCCTTACCCACCAGCACCACTGAAAGCGAATCACAATTTGCCTCGTGGCTATCCACCCCTCACCCCACATTCAGCGTCTGGCGAATCAAATCCAAAACTCCCCTCCTCCACCTCACCTCCGCCATCCGCTTCCCCCAAGGCTGGTCCCCCCTCTCCCCTTCAGAAGACTCCAATCACCTCACCCTCCCCTCATCACTCTCCTCCCTCGAATCCTCCCTCAAGTCACACAAGCAGAAGCTATCCCAAATTAGAAAGAGAGTGAAGGCTTCGGCGGTGTATAAGCGGCGGCAGCAGCAGATGACGGAGATGGGGAGGTGTGAGTATGAGGAGGGGAAGGTGGGGAGGCGGGTGGAGGCGCTGAGGAGGCGGATTGCGGGCATGCAGCCGGCGGGGTGGCAGGAGTTTGTTCAGGTGGTTCAGGTGCTGGCTCAGGCGGATGCGCTGGACCCGCAGAGCAGCACGCTTATGCCTCTGGGAGAGATCGCTGCGAAGGTGAGTGATAGTCGAGATGGCAGGTGGATCAGGTGTTTTTTCATGTGGTTGGTGGAGTGGTCGTGCACATGCTGGGTCAGGTGTTTCTTCAGGTGCTGGGTCAGGTGTTTCTTCAGGTGCTGGGTCAGGTGTTTCTTCAGGTGCTGGGTCAGGTGTTTCTTCAGGTACTGAATCAGGTGCTGGGTCAGGTAGTGGGTCGCATGGATTCCTTCAGGACTATTTGTCCGCGTTGGCAAGGGTGATGCGACTTGGCAGTTGCTTGCAGTTTGGGTAGATTACACCTGGAGTTTGTTCAGACCTAGGGGAGTGCGGGGAAGATAGAGGAGAAAGGGAAATAGGTAGAAAAGGGGTCAAAATAGTCTTTCCTTCGTAATCCTATCGTGCTGACGAAGGCCTCACGGCCGAAACGCCTATGCCTACGCTACGCTCTTTACTGACGTTGGACTTACCAAGTCCTGATTCTAACTTTTCTCCCACTCTATGTACCCCGAGCTTTTAGCTAAGAATTCAGAGGAGACCACTTCACTTGCTGCGGTTAAAATCCATTTTTTCTTGTGGATGGATTCAGGTACGCTGCACACTTATGTGAAATACAGCTGTTTCTTCAGCCAAGGTCAGGAGCCATTGCTTTGCTGCCAATGGCTCCTCCCTCCCGTCTCCCGTCTCCCGTCTCCCGTCTCCCGTCTCCCGTCTCCCCGCTTACGCAGGTGTGAGGGATCAACGAGCTGTCAGTAGCAGTGCCCGTCTCGCACCCCTCCCTCCCATCCATGTCGTGACCTGCCCCTGACTGTCCTCCTCACCAAAACTCTCCTCACCCCTCCGTCTCCCCCTCACCCAGGTACGAGGGGTGAACGAGCTGTGGATCATGGTGGCACTCTCGCACCCCTCCCTCTTATGCACTCCCTCTCTATCCCAACTCTCTTGTTCCTTCTCCTGTCTCCCTTCTTCCTGCTCCATCTCCTGCCCGCAGGTGCGAGGGGTGAATGAGCTGTGGATCACGGTGGCACTCTCGCACCCCTCCCTCTTATGCACTCCCTCTCTATCCCAACTCTCTTGTTCCTTCTCCTGTCTCCCTTCTTCCTGCTCCATCTCCTGCCCGCAGGTGCGAGGGGTGAACGAGCTGTGGATCACGGTGGCACTCTCGCACCCCTCCATCTTATGCACTCCCTCTCTATCCCTACTCTCTTGTTCCTTCTCCTGTCTCCCTTCTTCCTGCTCCATCTCCTGCCCGCAGGTGCGAGGGGTGAACGAGCTGTGGATCACGGTGGCACTCTCGCACCCCTCCATCTTATGCACTCCCTCTCTATCCCAACCCTCTTGTTCCTTCTCCTGTCTCCCTTCTTCCTGCTCCATCTCCTGCCCGCAGGTGCGAGGGGTGAACGAGCTGTGGATCACGGTGGCACTCTCGCACCCCTCCATCTTATGCACTCCCTCTCTATCCCAACTCTCTTGTTCCTTCTCCTGTCTCCCTTCTTCCTGCTCCATCTCCTGCCCGCAGGTGCGAGGGGTGAACGAGCTGTGGATCGCAGTGGCGCTCTCCCACCCCTCCCTCCCGCGCCTCTCTCCTCCAGCCATAGCGGGGTGCTGTGCTGCTCTGGTGTCTGAAGGCATGCGCATGCGCACAGGCGACGGCAGGTGAGGGCTTGTAACGGTGGCATTTTGCACGTGCATGAGAACAGGGGATGGCAGGTGGGCAGTAGCAGTGCAGAGGCGAGCAACTCCTCCCTCCAGTGCCTCTCACCGCCAGCCATAGTGGGGTGCTGCACTGCTCTGGTGACTGAGGGCGTGCTCATGCGCACAGGCGACGGCAGGTGAGTCGTTGTGGTGGGTTCTGAGGGCATGCACATGCGTACGGGAGACAGCAGCAGGTGACGGGTGTTAGTGCAGAGGTGAGAAATGTCAAGTGTCAACCATAAACCCTCCCTCCTTCTCCCGTTTTGCCCATTCCCTTTTGTTGCACCCTAACACCCACCCTGCCAGTTCGCCCTCCTTCCCCTACAAGCCGTCCTGGCAGGTGCGGGAGTGGGTGTGTGAGGCATGGTCTGAGACGTCTCACAACTTGCCCTCCACATGTGCCCTCTCCCTTATGACGTCTCACAACTTGCCCTCCACATGTGCCCTCTCCCTTATGACGTCTCACAACTTGCCCTCCACATGTGCCCTCTCCCTTATGACGTCTCACAACTTGCCCTCCACATGTGCCCTCTCCCTTATGACGTCTCACAACTTGTCCTCCACACGTGCCCTCTCCCTTATGACGTCTCACAACTTGTCCTCCACATGTGCCCTCTCCCTTATGACGTCTCACAACTTGTCCTCCACATGTGCCCTCTCCCTTATGACGTCTCACAACTTGTCCTCCACATGTGCCCTCTCCCTTATGATGTCTCACAACTTGTCCTCCACATGTGCCCTCTCCCTTATGACGTCTCACAACTTGTCCTCCACATGTGCCCTCTCCCTTAGGACGTCTCACAACTTGTCCTCCACATGTGCCCTCTCCCTTATGACGTCTCACAACTTGTCCTCCACATGTGCCCTCTCCCTTATGACGTCTCACAACTTGTCCTCCACATGTGCCCTCTCCCTTATGATGTCTCACAACTTGTCCTCCACATGTGCCCTCTCCCTTATAACGTCTCACAACTTGCCCTCCACATGTGCCCTCTCCCTTATGAAAGGCTAGAGCACAACGTCTCCCTTATGCCCTAGCCTTTCATCTCATCCTTGCTCTCAACTCCTCCTCCCCCCACCCTCCACTTCGCCCTCCTTCCCTTATGAGCCTTTCTGGGATGTGCAGGAGTGGGTGTATGTGTGGGTTTGTTTCGAGTCAATCCAGAACTTGATTTTCGCATCTGCCCTATCCCTTATGCCGTGCTCTTTGGTCTCACTTACCCCTTCCCCCCACCCTTGCCCCGCCAGTTCGCCCTCCTTCCCGTACGAGCCTTCCTGGGAGGTGCAAGAGTGGGTGTACGAAGCTGAAGAGCGCCGCGATTGGCTGATGCAGCTCCAGCTGGCTGCCAACGTGGCAATCCCTGCTGACCTGGACGCGCAGTTCGCTGGAGTGGTGGAGGCGTGGGCGCAGGGTGTGACGTGGCGCCAGCTCATCACTGACTGTGCAGGGCTGGACGAGGGGGACATTGCGCGGCTGCTAAGGCGCACCATTGATTTACTTTCTCAGGTTTGTTGTGCCACTTCATTGCTCCAGCCACCTCAGATATCACCTCTCTCTATCACAAGCATCATCGCCCCATGTAAAGCATTATCTCTCTGTTTCCGGAATGCCTTGTTACGTGCCCTACCTCTCTCACTCTCCTCCATGTCCCCACTCTCCCTTTCTCCCACCCTCGCTCGCTCCTCTTATTGCCTCTCACGTTATCTCTGCCTCTGCCTTTTCCACCTCTCTCCTCCTCTCCCCTCAAACTCTCCGTGTGCAGATCCCGTATCTTCCAGGCATCGATCCCTCATTGGCCAAGGCGGCAAAGCAGTCAGCTTATGTCATGGAGAGGCCACCTATCTCCGAGCTCATTGGCTGAGCATCATGTTGTAACTGCAGCACAGTTCTAAGAGATTCGGCAGCTCAATTCTAGGTTCCAAGTGGCATAGGTCAGTCAGTCTGTCTTTGTGCAGTAGTGTACATTTTACGAGAGGTGAATGCTTTTGTTTAATGTGCTATGCTGACGATTGAATCAATTAATCGATTAATGTTCACTGATTGAGAACCTCAGCTGAAAGGGCAGTAAGAGAGTGTTCCTACACCTCGTATCAGAAACGCCTCGTATCAGCTTCGCGTGGTGAAATACGTTACAGTGCGTTCGACTGCGTTTGAATGCGTTTCAGTGCGGTTCGACTCGAATCTGTACGAGGTTACCTGATACGAGGCCGTAGGAACACGCTCTAATTGGTGAATTGACCCACTTGTGGTGTGTTGGTGTGCATATGCTACCAACAAAATCTTACTCTCTGAACGACTGTAACAAAAAGTACAACTGAACAACCTCTGATTCGCTCGCAGCCGGATCGTGAGATAACCTGCCCTAATACTGCTGCTTCGCGATGCACCCTCTTACTCCCTCCCAGCCCTGCCTGTCGCAGAGCTCCGCAACGAAGCGGGCACGGCACTTCACGGGATACCACCACTGGGCAAAGGCCATCTCCTGTCAAATGTTGTAGCCTGTAGTGAGGTTTCTCTTAGGGGGTACAAATGTTAGGGTTTGCTATATGTACCACAACCCTCATCAAGTAACACAACACTTTCATTCTTGACATGGTATCACCTAGGTTAGGATCCTGTGGGATCCCGCTCCTCCCGTCCTCGTTCGTTCCGCCCGAGCCTGTCTCGCTCTCTCGTACTAGTCGTACCCGTCTTGCCCGAGCCTAGCGCCGGCCCGATCCAGTCTCGCTCATTCGTTAGTGCCCTCTCCGCCGACCTGCTTTCCGCGTAGCGTAGCGTAGCGCCCGCTCCGCCGACCTGATTTCCGCGTAGCGTAGCGTAGCGCCCGCTCCGCCGACCTGATTTCCGCGTAGCGTAGCGTAGCGCCCGCTCCGCCGGCCTGCTTTCCGCGTAGCGTAGCGCTCTCCCCGGTTTCCCATCCCATCACGCCCTCCCCCGCTGCTCGTCGCGACGTGCCCTCCCACCCTGCCCGTCGCGTCGCGTCCTCCCCCCGCTGCCCTAAACGCCCTCTCGCGCGCCGCGCCTGTCGTCGCGGCGCCCTTTATTTCCGTCGCCACGGCGCCCCGCGTTTCGTCGCCGCGGCGCCCCGCATTTCGTCGCTGCGGCGCCCCGCGTTTCGTCGCCGCGGTGCCCCGCATTTCGTCGCCGCGGCGCCCCGCATTAGTCGCCGCGACGCCCCGCATTTCGCCGTCGCGGCGCCCCGCATTTAGTCGCCGCGGCGCCCCACTCTTCCCGTCGCCGCGCCTGCTCGTTAGGCCCGCCGCGGGCCCTCCCTTACAGCCGCCGCGGGCCCTCACTTACAGCCGCTGCGCCTGCCCGTACCGCCCGCTGCCGCACCTGCTAGTTAGGCCCGCCGCGGGCCCTCCCTTACAGCCGCCGCACCTGCCAGTTCCGCCAGCCGCCGCGCCTCCTCGTTAGGTCCACTACGGGCCCGCTTGTTAGGCCCTTCCTTCGCACCGCTGCGCCTACTCGTTCAGTCCGCCGCGGGACCGCCCCTAGCCCCGTTGCACTCGCGTTTTGCGCCCGTCACGGACTTGCCCTAACCGCCCACCGTCCCTACCAATGCCACCCACCGCCGGACTTGTTGCTTCTACTTACACTATGGCGACCCCTAGGGTTCTTCGCTTTGACGCTGACGGTAGACCGCTGGAGTTTCCGGTCTGGCTCCTACGCGCGCGTCGCCTTTTAGAGAGTCCCTTTGGGCGCACGCTACTGGTGACCCTCCAGCGCCCGATGACCCTACGCCTTTAGGCCCCGCCCCTGATGACGCAGCCAGGGACTGCTTCACCCGCCAGCGTGCTGACCTGACGGCGTGGAAGTCGCGTGACGCTGCGGCCTGCATCGCTCTTAGCAGCCTCCTCCCTGAGTCTGAGGAGGCCCACTTCACTCAGGTTCGCACTGCTAGTGAGTTCCTGACTGTAATTAAGGCCCGCTACGCTACTCCCACCACTGTCTCTCTTGGCTGACTCTTCCTACCATTCCTGTTCCCTGACCTCGCCTCTTTTGAGCGCTCTGCTGACTTGATTGCTCACCTCCGCTCGCTTGATTCTAGCTACCGCGCTGCTTGCACTGAGGAACAGCTTGCACTGAGGCACAGCTTGCACTGCTTCTTCCCCCCATGGCGATTACTATCTATTTCATCGCCACTAGCCTCCCTGACCGCCTTGCCTCAGTCCGTGACATGCTTCTTCTGAAGCACCCTAGTGAGCTCACTATCGAGGTCCTTGAGTCTGCGCTCAAGGACGTTGAGAGCAACCTCCGCTCCGTAGCCTCCGCCTCTGGTGATGTGCCCCCTCCACTGTTCCACGGGTGCACTGTCCCTCAGCTGCCCACCTTTACAGCCTCTCTAGCCACTGCTGCTACTGACGTAACAGCAGCTGCTGTTACGACTTCTTCGTGGTCTCAAGGTTGAGGTGGCAAGAGGGGCGGTCAGGGTACAGGTGGCGGCGGCGGTGGAGGCGTTGGCGGCGGAGGTGGCGGGGGTGGCGTGCAGACGGGTGGCGGAGGGAGCGCAGGGCCTGGAGAGGCGTCTCGTGCAACGGCCAGTGACTCTCCTATTGCAGCTAGTGGAGGCGACACCCGGGCTCGTCAGCCACCTTATGGTCTGCCGGTCGCGCCGGGTGGAGCAGCGGCGTGGTACCTGGCCCAGCGGTAGCAGCAGCCCTTCCCCTCGCAGCAGCCCTTCCCCTCGCAGCAGGCCTCGCAGCAGCAGCGGCAACAGCAGGTTTCGGGGCCAGGCCAGCGCCAGCCCCAGCGAGGTGTTGTTCACCCTTCGTGCACCTATCAGCTTTTGACAAGTGCTCGCCGAGGCCAGCCTTGTGGCCGCACCCACCCTCCTGGTCAGTGTCTTGCTCATCTCACTGACACAGTTCGCTTGGCCTTTGACGCTGGCGGCCCTGCCCCTGATTGGTTTCCTCTTGTTCAGACGTACGGCTCCGCTCTTTGGGGCATTTCAGCTTCTCAGTTGGTTGATCTCTTAGGAACTCCTCATGCTATGTATGTTGTTGTTGATTCTACCGCTTCCGGCACCGGTCTCTGTTGCTCTGGCTGATCCCACCTTGGGACCAGTCACTGCTCGCTACACTACTACTCTTCCGTGCCCTTCTGTTCCCTCTGGGTCTCTGACTGGCTTCCGCATCCCCTCATTCTTGCGGAACTTGGTGGGCGTGAGGCCTCTTGTGAGTCAGCACGTGGGTGTGTGGATTGAGCCCTCTGGTGAGACGGCGGTTTGTGTTGACGGAGACACTTATACGCCTCTTGCCACCTTTACAGCTGAGCCGAGCTCTGGTCTCTACACACTTCACACTGGCTCTGGTGGGCAGCAGCAGCAGCAGCAGCAGCAGCAGCAGCAGCAGCAGCAGCAGCAGCAGCAGCAGCAGCAGCAGCAGCAGCAGCGGCAGCAGCAGCAGCAGCGACTACTGCCCCCAGCCCCTGTTCCTTCCCCCAGTCTGGTCCCTGCGTCTCACCAGGTTGCTGTGTCCCCCCGGGTAGCTGTATCTAGTCAGGTTCCCGTCTCTGGTCCAGATGCTACACTGTGCACCTGTCGGTCACTTGCCCACCCCACCGTTCTGTGGCACCACCGGATGGAGCACCCGTCTCTCCCTCGTCTGCGCGCTATGTCTCGTCAGCGTCTTGTCTTAGGCCTCCCACGTGTCTTGCCGTCGCTGCCACCTTTGCTTGAACCACCGTGCAGTCCCTGCGTCAAGGGTAGGCTGCGCGCCACCCCTCACTCCTCCTCCCTTCGTCCGGCCACCGAGCCTTTTGTGACGCTCCACTTAAACGTCTGGGGCCCCGCCCCTCGCCTTGGCCCTGAGCGTGAGCGTTTCTTTCTGGTGGTCGTTGACGACTACTCCCGCTACACCACAGTGTTCCCCCTTGCGAAGACGTCTGAGGTGACTTCTACGCTGATCAGGTGGTTGCTTACCACTGAGGGCACTCGTGGTCGTCGAGTCAGCTGTCTTCACTCCGACCGTGGGGGTGAGTTTCGCTCCGGCATTCTCGCTGGATTTTGACACGAGCAGGGCATCCGTCAGTCCTGGACGCTTCCAGAGGCCCCACAGCAGAATGGGGTTGCTGAGTGCCGCATAGGCTTGGTCATGGAGATCGCCCGCACCTCCTTGACTCACGCCCGTGCTCCCCATTTTCTGTGGCCCTACGCGGTTAGGTACGCCGCTCACCAGCTGAACCTCTGGCCACGTGTCTCTCGGCCAGAGGTTTCACCGACTAGTCTTTGGACCGGGTCCCGTGGTGTTGCGTCGAGGTTTCGTGTCTGGGGTTGCTTGGCTCTTGTTCGCGACACCTCCGCGGACAAGATCTCGCCTCGCGTCGTTCCCTGTGTCTTCCTTGGTTTCCCAGAGGACTCCTCTGACTTCACCTTTTTCCACCCTCCCCTTCACCGGTTCTTTGACTCCCGTGACGTCAGTTTCGACGAGTCCGTCCCCTACTACGTCAGGTACCCCTGCCGAGGTCTCCCGGTTCCTCCTCTCCCTCTTTTCCTGACTTCCGCTCCCCCTCCTGCTCCCCCGGTGCAGCCTCCCCCCCCTGGTCCACCCCCGTCAGGTGTGTCCCACGCTACCCGTCCCCCCTCGGTAGCCCCTCAGGTACAGTCTCCTTCCCCGAAGTCCTCCTCGCAGCCTGCGGCAGACCCTGCGGGAGCCGGTGTTCGTGGCGAGGACCCTGTGGGTGCGAGCTCTGGGGGTGCTGGAGTTGGGGCTGAGCCCGAGGCTGCAGGAGACTCTCATCTTCCGGGAGCTGGAGTAGGTGGTGCTGACTCTGGGGGTGCTACGTCTAGGGGTGCGGGTGCGCCTGGCTGTGTTGCTGTTGGTGGTACTGCCTCTGGGGGTGGTGCGCCGGGTGCTTTGGAGGGTGGTCCTGGGGCTGCCGCAGCCCCGGCCACTACTCCTCCCCCCCACCCCTACCCGACCCGGCACCAGGCTCGTGTTCGCCGTGCCCGTGAGGAGTAGCTGGAGTTAGAGAGAGAGGAGAGAGAGTTGCAGCGGCTGGAGGTGGAGCAACAGCAGCAGCAGTAGCGGCTAGAGGAGCAGCAGCAGCAGCAGCGGTCGCAGCTGGAGCAACCGCCGCTGCAGGAGCAGAGGTCGCAGACGCACCAGGAGCAGCAGCAGCCGCCACCTCCTCCTCCTCCTGTCTCTGGTCTTCGGACCCTCGGTCTCCCCTCTCCCTCTCCTTCCTCCTCCCCCTCTCCTCCTGTCTACGGTCCCACGTTTCCTCCTCCTGACTCCTCCCCAATTGTTCTCCCTCGTTCTCCGACTCCGTTGTCTCCTCCTCCTTTGCACGCTTGGCCCTCTCGTCGCTCTCCTCGTGCTCGTCCCTCGTCCCCTGTTGCTCTCGCTGACCTTCGTACTGCCCTATTCCGTCCTAGTCCACCTCGTTCGTCTCAGTCTGTACTTCCTTCTCCTCCTGAGTCGGCCTTCACTGCTTCCCTCTCTACTCCTGTCACTGACTACTACCGCACGTACCATCATGTTCTCCCTCGTGTTCTCACCTCTCTTGTTACGGACCCTCGTGCCTCTCTGTCCTCTGTCTCCGCCCTTACTGTCACCGTCACTGAGTTCGCCACTACTCGCCGCCTTGACTATGCCACTTGTCTCGTGGCTGCTCCTCCTACCAGTCCTCTAGCCATCGGGGGTGAGTCTGCCCTTGGCTGTGACGCCCTAGAGGACAGGCAGTTTGAGCTAGAGTTCCTGGCAGCCGCTTTGCCTCATCTCTGTGCCATGCCGCTCGCTCCTGAGGGAGACCCCAATGCTCTTGACATACCGACTCCTCGCACTTTCGCTGAGGCAGTGTCAGGGCCTTGGGCCTCTCAGTAGAGAGCTGCCATGGACGCAGAGATGGCCTCCTACAGATCCACAGGCACCTATGTCGACGAGGTTCCCCCCCCTGGGGCGAACGTAGTCGATGGTATGTGGATATATAGGGTGAAGCGGCCACCGGGATCTCCGGTCTTCAAGGCGCGCTATGTGGCTAGAGGTTTCAGACAGCGCGAGGGAGTTGACTTCTTTCAGACCTTCGCGCCTACCCCGAAGATGACCACTCTTCGGGTGTTACTACACGTAGCAGCACAGAGAGACTACGAGTTACACTCTCTCGACTTCTCCAGTGCTTTCCTTCAGGGTAGCCTATACGAGGAGGTCTGGCTGCGTCGTCCCTCTGCCTTCACTGGCACTTTCCCTCCTGGGACCTAGTGGAGGCTGAGGCGACTTGTCTACGGTCTCCATCAGGCTCCTCGTGAGTGGCGCGACACCCTTCGTTCTACCCTCTCTGACCTGGGTTTCCAGCCGTCTTCTGCCGACCCGTCGCTGTTCGTCCGTTGTGGTTCCACACCTTTCTTTGTTCTGGTCTACGTCGACGACCTGGTTTTCGCCACTGCTGATAGGGTTGCCTTGGCAGACGCGAAGTCCGAACTGCCGAAGAAACACACGTGCACTGACCTTGGTGAGCTGCGCCACTACCTTGGCCTGCAGATCACCAGGGACAAAGCTGCTCGCACCATTACACTCTCACAGTCACACATGGTGCAGCAGTTTATTCAGCGGTTCTAGTTTCAGCACTCCACAGTACAGCGCACACATCTTGCTGTTTACCACAGACTTATTGGACCCTTTCCTGACGAGCCGTTTGAGTCTAGTGGTCCCTATGCAGAGCTGGTGGGCTGCCTCATGTACCTGATGACTTGTACTCGTCCGGACCTCGCCTTCCCTCTCAGCATCCTTACTCGCTTTGCTGCGCCAAGGAGACACCGTCCTGTTCACTAGACGGCAGCTGTGAGAGTGGCGAAGTACCTAGCGACGACATCAGGCGTGGGGCTAGTTCTTGGAGGGCAGCAGTCTGTCGTACTTACTGGTCACTGTGACTCATCTTACGCTGAAGACGCTGAGACTCAGAGGTCTACTCCGGGGTACTGTTTCAGCTTGGGTTCTGGAGCTGTTTTGTGGAGGTCCACGCGCTCCTCTTCGGTCTCGACCTCTACTGCTGAGGCTGAGATCTACGCTGGTGCCATGGCGGCACAGGAGCTGCGTTGGTTGACCTTCTTGCTCGCCGACCTTGGTGAGCGTCCGAGCTCTGCACCGACCTTGTTCACTGACAACAAGGCGTCAATTCTCCTCTATCGAGAGCCGCGACTGGAGAGCAGAGTGAAGCACATTAACATTAGGTACTTTCTTCTGCGTGGGTTGCAGAGACGTGGACATGCTCACTTCGAGTTTGTGGAGTCCGAGGCCAACACTGCAGACATCTTCACCAAGGCGCTTCCGCCTTGTGACCACCAGAGGTGTTGTGTGCAGCTAGGTCTTGTTGACACAGGTTCTAGTCGCATGTAGGCTTGAGTTTACTGTTTCCTTTGCTTGTACTCTTGCCATACACTTTTGTGAACTCTTGGACTGGCCTTGTGGCCCTTGTTGCTTTTCCTGAGATTGTGTGGTGACGTTGTGATCCACCCTGAGCTTTGTTTCTTTGTGACTAGTCTTGTGACTGTACACTTTTGGTTTTGCTTGACACCCCTCACTTACGCTATGGGTGTGTGTCAAATGTTGTAGACTGTAGTGAGGTTTGTATTAGGGGGTACAGATATTATGGTTTGTTATATGTACCCCAACCTTCATCAATAACACAACACTTTCATTCTTGACATCTCCTCAATTCTCCACGCATTTTTACAAAGTTGCAAGCAGCATGCGAAGCGCCACCTCGATTTGCAGAGTAACACGCGGATTCACGAAGAAATATCCAGAATCGCGAAGCAATATCCGGAATCGCGAAGCACCGCTCATTCGCGATAATACACGCGAATTCCCGAAGCATCACGCGGATTCGCGGACCTACTCGATCCGAGCTATCCAGAGCTTTCTCGCTGCATCTCGACAGTCCGAGGCGGTTCTAGAACCACCATCATCATTCATGCCGCTTCTATAAATACAATTGGCGAGTGACGGAGCCATCATTCAAAAACCTACAACTACCTTCACATACTTTCAAACCAGCTTATGATGAACTCAAAGCTTTAGACGAACTCTTATTTTCAAATTCGTACCAGCTTCGACAACACCTCATTGGATAGACGCTCTTCAGAGAATGGCATTCGGTATGTCAGATTTGCTTTTCGAGCGACAGCAACCTCACCTTTTCGCATCGCCTTACCCGACCCATTATCATTCCCAACCGTCACCTTGGAACTTTGCCTCCTCTTCGTCTCTGCTTTTTGGCGATCCGTTCCTATTCGACTTGACTCATCAGCTGGGAATATGACGCAAAGATGATGCAATGACACACGGAAATGTGAGACTGCGCGGAAGCAGCAAGCGCACGAGCTTGAGGCGCCAAGGCATGCAGCGTACTCGCGAGGGGCGCAGCGCAACGTGAATGAGACAAATATTCGACAATCACAGCGCCAGGAGCAAGCAGCTGCCCATCAAATACCCGTCCAGCACCCAGCAAACAATAGTACTAAGCTCTCCGAGACGCCGGCAGCGTCGCCAATGGCGGGCATCGCCGGAATTCCTGCTGCTAAAATCGCTCGCATATCGTCATTATCGGCTGACGATGCTGCTCGGAAGTTGCAAGCAGTATGGCGGGGCTATTCTGTGCGCCAAGACAAGCCTCTCGAACTGGCTCGGTCCATATATGACGTTCAGAAGCTGGTTCTCAAGATGGACGCGCAGCTTCGGGATAACGAATTCGTGGCTAAGATGGTTTCTAACCCTATGGAAAAGCTTCGGGTGAGCGAGACGATCATGAGCTGGCTGCTTCGGTTGGACAAGGTGCAGTTCCCGAACCAGGACGTTCGGAACTTGCGTCGGGACATGGCCAGGAAGCTGACGAAGCTGCTAGACAGGGTCGACGACAGGAGGCTAAGGCTCCCCTGGAAGCTGCTGTTGACACGGGTGTTACCACAATGGGTGATGCAGGAATGGATGTAGACCCACCGTTTGAAAATTGCTGCCATTGTGGCAGACAATGCAGCGACAAAAGATTTATGAGCTGCAAGAGCTCTGATGTTGCCAATAGCACGCATCAGGTGGGGAGAGTGGCTAAGAGGCAAAAGCAGAGGCACTGGAGGGACGCCTTGTGGCAGTGGAAGGAGAGAACGGCTGGGAAGCGAGGGGGTGCATGCTAGTACATAGATCTGTAAATATTTGTATACCACAAAACCCCCGGGTGCGCAAGGTGTCAAACTCATATGCTATAGTCTGTGTAGGCTGTAGTGGGGTAGACAATATGGGGTACAACACTTTTAGGTTTTCCTACTTGTACCCACCTGCTTGCTAGTTCATTCATTCCTCATCTCTTCATATGGTATAGAGCAGGTTCCCTAGTGGGAACTTTTCCTAGGGCCCACCACTGAAAATCGAGTTTTATTTTTTTCCTACTCTGAGGTCGAGTCGCCCCTGACCGAGGCGCGCCCTGTGTGCCGCCCTCCCCTTAGCGACCCGTCGCGCCACCCTTAGCGGCCCCCACCCTCTCACGGCCACTCGCGACCCTGTCGCCGCCCCCTAGCGGCCCGTCGCGCCGCCCCGAGCGGCCCGTCGCGCCGCCCTGAGCGGCCCCTAGCGGCCCCACCTCCACGGCCCTGTCACCGC